CCCCAAAACCCCAAAACCCCAAAACCCCATAAGAAGTCAACCTAATTGATTAAAATATATTATTTTTCACGAATAGCCAAAATGGAAGACCCATATAAGTCTGACCACAAAATCCAAAAGGAAGAAAATCAGAAGCTTATCCAGATGGATCCTTCCAAATCAGTTCTCGATCTCAGCCAACTGTTCGATAAATAAGGAAGGGGTTCGCTGTGGATACTGAGGGTCTAAGGATAAGACCAGCTTTAGAGTTGGATTTGAGGTTACCAAACTCAACGTTCATCATTTAGAGAGACTTATCGAGAAAGGATTCATTAAACACGGCTCTACTTCTGTGGAAAAAGAGTGAAATGAAAAATCTTGTTGCCACATCTTAAATTCTAGAGTCGACATCACCGAGTTCAAAATCTCCAAACAGGTATTGTTGCTTGTCATCGTGATTTGTTGTCTGACAAGTGTGTGAATTCTGATGAATTTCTATAGCAAAAATAAACACATGAAGAGGTTCAATCAGTACATGAATGGGCAGAGAGAATTAAAAATAGAGCATGACAGCTATAAACTTCGCAATGACAAACAAATGATCATCTGATTAATCATAAGGAACATTTTTGAGAAAGATATTGCCAATATAGAAATTTGGGTCAGAAAGTCTTTCATTGATGCACTTAACTCAGACGATCAGCAAATAAGCAGTGCTCTCACTGAAGACCTAAAGGGCATGCTCAAGCGTATCTTCTGTTATAACTTCTAGTGAGAATCAAGATTGATTTCTCTGAAGAAATCTACAATCTCGAAAGCTTCACAGAACAAGAGGAGGTCCAACTAGTCATGACTTGAAACCTCAAAGCACTCTTGGCAAAGCACAAGCTTGATAATGTACATCTTTACTAACATGTAGGACTTCATGAGTGCCTTCTTCCCTGTCTTCATGAGCAATCTGAGGGAAGACCAAGACCTCTGCGAACTATATGAGATAACTGAGGATGAACAAGTGAGCGATTTTATGACCATTTAGGAGTATGTTATTCAAATCTCAGGAGACAAAGAGTCAATGAGAGAGTACCAGAACATTCTTGAGAGGAATACTGGCGAAACCTAAGTATAGGCCTAACAAATTTGGAGAGAAGAGGTATAAACCTACTGGGGAAGAAGCTGAAATATCAATCCAAGCTGGGGAAAGCAGGGATTATACCGAGTTCTTTAAGGAATTCTGCCCGAACCCTGTTCCGAAGGAAGAAAGGAAGCATCATTACACAGTTTCGTTGCATCCAGCTATGTTTACTGATGAATCTTTTGAGATTTACAAACTGTTTCATGAAGATATCTTTGATGAGGTAAAGACTCTTCTCTCACATTTAGGACTGATTTTCTGCCAGTTATGAGAAGTTTATTTGAAGCCCTTCTCTGTTTGACCCCAAAGATCCTAGAGAAATAAAGACTTTCAGAGATAGCATAAACATCAATGGAGACAGCCAATTTGTTGATTCAGGAGTCTATCCTGAGTTCTTTGGATCGTATCATTTGTATCATAGGATAGACGGGGTTCTGTTCGCTGTTTCTATCATTGATATACTCCCTCATAATCTCACCTCAATCTATTGAATGTATCACCCTTCTTACAAGTTTTTATCTCCAGGCCATTTTACTGCTATTCGAGAAGTTGAATATATGCTGATGATCAGAGAGAAGTTCAACCAAAATATGAGGTACTACAGCCAGACAGATTATGTTGTTGGGTGACCAAAGACTGAGTACAAACAGAACATGAAACCAACTTATCTAAAATGCCAAGCGTCTTTGGACTGGGTGCTCCTCACTCAGAAAATTAAAGAAAAGATTGCATCCAAGGAATACCACACTCTCGGTACGTAGAGTTTGATAATTTTAGATGAGTCCTCAGTCCCTGTGGAAGTTCCTGACATTGGCAAATTTTGGGAATTCTTTAACCAATCCTTGGTTCACACCCAGGACGGAGTAGTTCCGCTGAAATCAGTTTCTAAGGATATGCTTGGGCCTTTGGTGGAGATATTTAAGGAAATTGGACCAGAAATAAGTGAGATGTTTTGACTTGAAATTAAATAGTTTCAATTGCATTGAAACAAAGTGGGGTTTTGGGGTTTTGGGGTTTTGGGGTTTTGGGG